ATAAGCATGAAATAAAATCTTCTTGAAAAAATTGAATTGATTTATCTTTGGATATTTTGACCGAATACACATAAAATATACCACATTTTTACATTAACTTTTCACAAAAAACAGCCAAGTTTTCATTTTTAGTTTCTTTTTGATATTGCGGATATTTGCTTTCTTATTTAATTGGATAAAATAAATAAAAATAAATAGATAATTGATAATATGTCCATGATGATGAKGTAGGGTCGGTAGAGAAATGTATGACAGATTAAGACGATATAGTTATACCTATATTGAGAGTTATTGTTTTGTAGCGATRGTCTTACGTCTTACTCAATCATAAAATGGTCGAACGTCCAAGTAAAATACTCGTAATTTCTAAATCCAATATTAGGTATCTACAACAGGGTCGTACCCAGGGGGGGGGGGTCCGGACCACCATTGAAATTTCTACATTTACATTTTACATAATTGTTTAATAGTAAACAGTTTAATAAGATTTACAGTGTATTTTAATTTCCCATTATCTTCGGAAGACAGACTAAATGAACTTGCGATGCTTAATATTCATCGAAATGAAATCTTAACACCAGATAATATAATTGAGGAACTTGTAAAAAATAATAGGAGATTAAAATTTTAAAATAAATATATATTTATGATAATAATTATAAGTTAAATAATGTAATTTTTATAACATTTTATTACCAAATAAAAATGAATTTAAAATTATAGTAGGTACCTACCTACCTATTATTGTAGTAAACCCTTCTGTATATGCGCTGTGAGTGTGTATATAACTATTGTAACTATTATTATAGTTATTAACAGTAATATGTTGGTAATGAATTAAACTATAATTATAATTAGAGAACAAATAAAATAAAAATTTTGGACCCCCCATAAAAAATTCCTAGGTACACCCCTGTAGATTCTAAAATTTATGTAAAATCATTTTAAAATTATCGGGACTATTATTCTGAGTATAAACATTTAAAAATATTAAAAACTACTTGTTTGAATTTTGAATTAGTTAGGTAGGTAGGTACATCAAAAACTATCCACTAATTAATTTACAGCAATGACGGGGTAAGGTCAGTAAGGGGGCCCTTATATTATAACAGACTTTGTATCGCCTATACAGAACTCTCTTTAAGTTATACAAAAAAATCTCATGGATTTTAAAATTTGATCTTAGTTTATTTAACGAAAAATTGGGATGAGGATTGATCATACCTATCGAATCACACATCTATATAAAATCTATAGCCAGGTATAGATTATGTGTAGCAAGGTAGGTATTTAATCTATATTCTATACAGTAAGTACCTAATGATATTTAAAAAAAATTAATATGATACTTAAAATGAAAATTAATAAAGAACAAATCAAGTTTTCGTTTTTCTTGAAAAGTTGTTAAAAATATACAATTGTTTAAATAACAAATACCCATTCATATTAAAACTACTTAATCAGTGTTTGAAAATCTAAAAGCTCTGACCCTTCGACTCAACCTAGTCGTAATGTATAGTATAATAACATATAACAGATGTGTTTATAACATAACATATTACTATTAATGATAAATTATTATTTCTATAATTAGTGTATTATTCTTGTCATTATGWTACCAGACTTACCTATTACCGCAATGTAGATTATAGGTATGGACACTTAAAAATTGTTTGTGATTTTTTATAAATAGGTATAGTAGGGGCCTATTCCGCCCTATTCACGTCCTACATTATCCGAGAGCAGTTCAACCATTACCTTTTTCCAATCCAAGTGCAATCGACCATTTCTTTGTAGGTAATAAGTGCTATTCAACTATCCCGGTTGCCTCTAATCCCTTGAATAAAAAGAAATAAAAATATTATCTCAGCTGTTAATATATTGTTCGATGTTCTTATAATATACCTAGTACCTACTATTGTTTATACTTTACCTATATAAATATTTCCATTTTATATGATGTTGATTTAACCGACGATCTTTAAATCTATTTAGTACCTACGTACCTGCATTAATATTTGCCTATATGTGTATATTGTGTTGTTTCTATTACTTACTGTAAGAAAAAAATTATTAAAGATTTTAAAACTGTGTTACAACCTGTTATTGTCATTGAACAACATTTATGCAACGTACAATATCTATCCTAACAATCGTCTACACGGCTTCCCGTTACATCCATACCTTAAGTAATAAGCCGTGATATTGTGATAATAATGTGGTATGACTATAAATGTAATATTGTGAAACGAAAAAAGTGCGTTTTCATCAATTTATTGAATTGGTCTTTTTACTCTGAATCTTACAGAACAGTTAATTGGTAATAGCTGGTAATTACACGTTATTATGTTAATATTACATATTGGGTTACTTACTTATAATGAATATTGATTACATATTAGCAAGCTAAATATACTATAAACTAAAATCCAAGATTCTGATTGGTACAAAAAAAAACTGATTTACAGTTATATTATTATATCATGTAGGTAAATACTAAGCGGAGCGATGAAAACCTTTATATTAGAATTATGTTTTTTTGTGTCTGTGTACACCATAATAGACGTAGTCGAAATGTTTCAAATTTCAACATTTTAGTGGTTATGGAAATTTTTGAAATAGACTTTAGAAGTTAAAATTGAAAATTCCCTTTAGATTTCAGAAGCACTGGGAAAATAAAAAAGGGCAGAATTTTACAGAAATTCTAGGCGTTTATTAAGTCTAATAAAACTGTTCGATGGAAATTATTTCAAGTATCTATTTATTCATAATTCGTTTTTGAGTCACACAAAAAACAAAATTAATTTTTCAAAAACTTATTTTTCGTAAAAAATTCAGTTTATTATTTTTTTGTCCGACACTCGACACTAATGGGAATATTTAATTTGATCTCTCAAATTCACCAACTGACATTTACTTTCCTACCACAAAAGTTACTTAAGTTTAAAATTAAATAAGTACTAGTTTAATAATATTATATAAATACAGTTTTTTAATAGACATTTATATTCAGAAGAAAATACACATTTTAATGAAGAATTATGATTTTAGTTATTTAATTGTAATTAAAAACACATTAGAGGTSACTTACAACTTTTAATGTACCTATGTCTTATGTTATATTGTATAAACACAATGATACATTTTTAAATTAAATGTGATACGTTTTACACAATACAAAATCTGTTTAAAATTTTAATTATTTTTTTAAACATTGTTATATATAATTACAATACACATAATATATAATACACCATGTTACATAATATTATGTTAACAGTAAACACAGTTAAAACTTATCTTAAAAAGGCAATTAMAATATTCTTAAAAAAAAATATATATATCATTTATCATTTAAAATCATTTATCAGGGCATACAAATAAAATGGTTAATGATGACATAAATACTCTCAGATTTTTTTCTCAGGGAATATAAAGAGATTGAAGTTTTTAGTCAGCCATAGCTGCTAAGCGGAAAATTGAATTAAGGCTACTTGCAAATCAATCAAAATTYTATACAGAAAAAGAAGTAGCAGTTAAAAATAAGAAATTTGTTTATGATAAATGCATTAAATTTAAAATACAGGTATTTAAATAATCAATAATCATAAATTAAAAATTAAAAATGCTAAAAAAACATTTTAATGAGCTGAATATTAAATGGATTTGGAAAACACATTTATGGTAAGTAGTATAAATTTAGAATTATTCTATAAATTTATAATGCCTGCATTCAAAAGCAGCAGTTTAATAATGCATGATACATATTAGTAGTAGTTACAGTTATTTAAATTTTCTTTTGTTTATTATTTAGTATAATATCTAAGTCATATTATTGTAACAATTATTTTAAGAAAAGTGTTTTAAAAATATTGTTATGCACTCAAAATGTGGCACCTGTTTAACTTCTCATTCTATAACATTGTTCATATAATAAACAATAAATATTAATACATAGATAAATAATTATTTTAAACAACTAATATAATTGGGATAGACCATAAAAAAAAAATAATATTAGGATACATATATTTTGTTCAAGACAAAAAATAATAATAAGTGTCATCCTATCATGTAATATACATCCATACAATTATTAATTACTTATGTATATGGTGTATATAAAATTATGTAGACATAATATAAATGCATGCATATATATTTTTATGTAACATTGAACTTAAGACATAGGTTGATATTCTATTAATTCACTCTTCTATAAAGCTTATTCAATCTTGAATTATTATCTGTTGTTTTTAATCGTATCATCATCATTCCAACACTCAGTATCAGATGGCACTGGAGTAACTTCTCTTGTGGGTCTAGGTGGTGTAGACATTTTTTCAGTTTGCTCATTACTATTTAATGAATGATCTGAACTTAAGTAACTACTGTTAGGGATTCCTTCAATAGGCAAGTCTACAAGACGACGACGGCTAATATAATACTCAATGACCGATTGATTGGTTTCCTTAATTGAAGGAGTTACTTTGGCCACTTTCTTTTTTATCATAGTCAATTTGGTGCGTAATTTTGATCTTTTAAATGGATACATGTTACGTTTGAATTTTAATGTTTCTCGCATTAAAGTTTTAAGAGGGGGAGGTGATAATGGACAACCAACGTCGTCATGCGTTGGAGATGCTGCTAGATTGTCTCCAGGACGAATTCCATCAGCAAAAGTCACACGTTTAGACAAGTTTAAAGTGCTTGGTTTAGTAGACCTAAACACAATGTTATAAAAAAATTAATGTTTATTAAAGATAACGATTTCATTATTATAGCCTTACATAAAATAATAAGATAATAGTAGTATTAACATAATAAAGTACGAATTAAAAATAAAATAAAAAGAATGAATGTTTTAATACTCCATATTGAAAATGAAACTATGCATATTAAATTGGATCAATATTAATTTATAAATATTACAATCATTGTAAAAAWAAAATACAAAAATATTCATAAATATTTCATCTGAATATGTTTTTGCATGTTCTTACCTTGGTTTAGATAGGATACTGTTAGTTGGTGGCTGAAACAGTCCTAAGAATGGATGTTTAATCGTATCCATGTTGTCGCTATAGCGAATCATCAATGTGTCGGGCAATTTCTCGTGAACCTTTTCTTTTGCGCGGACTTTTAATTTCTGAATTAATATCTGATCAAATTACAACATTCATCAGTTAAAAATTAATGAATCAAGCATAATTAAACAAATTATTCTTAAAAAAATTAATATTTTTTCATAATGAATATTACAATAACTTTTTTATTATTCACAAATGTAAATAAATTAGTAAAGTATACTAAAGATTATAATTTAATACCTTTTGATTAATAATAGTATCCATCATTGAAAGGTCAACCACAGTAACTTCTTCTTTCATAAATACACCTACACAATATAAATAAATTTAATAAAAATAGCTGTATAAAACAATGATTAATTATTATCCTATTTATTATTTTTTAATTTAGACATAGAAAGTAATATTATGTAAAATATTTAAAATATTTAAAGATATTAAAACAAATTCGAAATGTTATTATATCAATTAAGAAAAATTAGATATTTTTACTACTTTATTTAAAATTTTTATTAATACCTGATTCATTTCCATTGTTGTTTTCTTTTTCTTCTAACTTAATTGAGGTATTATCATTGTTTAATTTTTCTTCCAAATCTCCTAGGACATCATTATTTTCTGAATTTATTTTTGAAGTTAGATTATTCTCTGTAAAAACTTCTATTGTATCAGTTTTATTTTTAATTTCAACATCCAAAATTGATTTTTCAGATGACTTTATACACTCCTCAGTTTCTACTAATGAATCTGAACTTTTAGCAGAATTTTCAGTATTTTCAGAATCACTTATAGGTACCACTTTATCGATCATATTTTGATATTTGTCTTTATTATCTTTAGTTTCAGGTGACTTTTGGAAATGATTTTCATTAATATATTGTTTATCGGTAAGCATTTCAACATAAGAATCTGAAAGTTCACTTTCATCAGTGTCACATTCCGAAGAACTAGTTACACAATGCTCTTGATCAATATGATTAACATCACRCTCAGTATTATATTTTTTAAGTATATATGGTTCATCTAGCCAACTATTGACATTGTCATGAATGTTGTCAACTATTTCCCATTCACTTTCAATAATATTAAGATCATCATTTTCGTTATTGTCATTATCTACATCTTCATGACCAGAACCTGAATCCAAAGAATCTATCTCATCATCACTGAACACACCTGATTCAGCATCAGATGGAACATGAAATGGGATTAAATCTGCATGCAACCAATACTCATTTATTGATCCACTTATGCTTACATTAAAACAATGTCTGACATCATTTCCAACTCCATCACGGCTACATGTATTTACAGATATGTGGACCATACATCTATCTTCAACAGCACAATATGCCATATAGTTGTCACTAGTAAGATAAAGATTGGTATTATTGTCTTCAAGTATACATACATATGCTCGAGTTTGTAACGGTATGGATATTATATCATCAGATTTTTTATCAGTTTCTGACAACTTTTCTTGAGAAGTCAAACAATCTGGAATATTGACTTTAACTTCGTCTGTATTAATTATAACAGGATCACTCAGTGAGTATTTAATTGGATTTTGATTGTAATGTTGAAAATGTTGATGATATAGTTTTACAAATAGTTCATCACGATCAGCACTATCTGATTTATAATTGTTGACAATTTCCTCCTATAAACAATTTTGTAATTTAGTATTATTAATGAGAATGTTAAAAAAATAGGTAAAGTCGGTCATTTAAAAAAAAA